CGCCAATGTTGCGATTTCGTTAACGGACGGAAACGGCGAGCAATTTATATATGGTTATGTTCCAATTGTGGTCGCCAAATGCGGTGTTTTCCTAAAAGAAAAAGGTGAGTCCCCCAGGTTCAGCCTTAACCTCCCAATACAATGTTCTGATTCTAGTCCCTGTAAACAGCTACCAACGTTGAGGGAATCTTTCGACTAAGCGGGTCTGCAAAGAGGATAAAGGACCTGCAAACTATTTTTAATTCTCCGGACAAGTACGGTAAGGGACTGGACTGGGCTGGTTATACCGTCCATGATGCGGCGAATATTTTTCGTCGATATCTAAATCAATTACCCGAGCCGATTATTCCACTGGATTTTTATGCCCGGTTTCGTGAACCATTGCAGTGTGCGCAGGAAGATTTCGACGCCCTTGCAGCTATCCGTGCCTACCAAGATCTCATCGGCAAGCTTCCTGCACTTAATAGACAGCTGCTTCTCTACATCCTGGATCTTTTGGCTGTTTTTGCCTCCAAAGCTGAACAAAATTTGATGACCGCAAGCAACTTGGCGGCCATCTTTCAGCCGGGATTAATAAATCACCCAACACATGACATGTCACCCAATGACTACAAGTTATCTCAGGATGTACTAGTGTTCCTTATTACCAACCAGGATCACTTTTTGCTGGGAATGCGAGGGAATCCCGAAACCGAAGCGGTAGATAACCTCAGTGTGCCCGTTGCCCCGGCAGCGCCGGCGTCCCCACGGCGCGCAAAGACTGTGCTTAGTAGATCTCCGTCAAACTCGAGTGCTGGGGCAGATGACGTTAGGAAATATGGCAACCTCCGAAGAAACGTTTCTGTTACATCTAAGAGGTCTATTGCCGGTGGTCCAATCGTTTCAAATAATAGTGGAGGGTTAAACAGGAGTAATACACTTCCTTCAAAGAGGTCGCCCAATACGTCACCGGTAACCTTTAGAGGAGAGAATAACTCAACTCCAGGCTCGCCCCGAGGAGGTTTGGCCATGGATAAAAACTCCATCTCGAGATCTCCCTCTGTCGGAGGGCGAGCGCGTGATAATGCTACTCCGGTAACAACCTCCTCCGATGATAGTTCCAAGACTGTAAAACCCATGGCAGCACCCCCGAGAACTGCCCCTCCTCCTCCAATGAACACAGAAGTCCCGCCAGCACAGCAGCGAACAGTGACTACCCCAACCAAGGAGCGTAATTTTGCTGCAAGTTTTTTCGCAGGATTGTCGCCGGAGCCACACCAAAGGACTGGAAACAAGTTGAGGAAACAGAGACCTGGCAGCACCACTCATTCAGCTGATTCTTCAACGACTAACTTGGGAGGCGAGGCTAACGCCAGTAATCCATCCATTCAAAATGGACACGGACCTCCCTCTATAGGAGGAGACACGCTTGTGCAGGCCTCACAACAGCCTCATACAGCTCCAACTACGTCCATGTTGAGCTTTTTTGGTGTTTCGCAACAGGGCAATGCTCCTCATTCAGCAGCTTCGTCAGCAACTCTGATGCCGGCAATGTCGCCGACCCCTTCAACTACCTCCAGCGTTGCTAGCCAGAGCAGTTCTCACGAACTTTCAGACACTGCAAACCCCCCAAACTCTCCCGAGAAGAAGAGGCGATCAAGATGGAGGTTATCTGGGCAAAAGATGGATCTCGCACCTACTAGTCCAACATTTGGCAATGGTCATAGTCATGGTCATAACTCTACAGCAAGTCTAGCTGAGAGAATAAGAGGAACATCTCGGAGCCCCCCACACCGGACTAGGAGTGTTAGTGGCGAAACGTCAGGCATGAGTGACAGTGAGGAAAGACGAAGCGCTCTGGGATGGCTCTCTCAAAAGTTGAATGAGCGGAGGCAAAGTCAGCAACAATGTGATAGAGAGCGAGAGCAAAAAGAGCATGGACGTCCACATGGAAGGGAAGATATGCATATTTCGATGGACAATCTACCAAAAATGACGATGCCGCTACCAGGTTCTCCGCGAGTACAACCACCAACACCCTCTAGTGTATCACTCCCCACACAACCAACTCAAGAACATATTCTAGAGTCACCTCGAGATAGGGAAGGCAATGGAATTTTCCGCCGGGACCGGCAATCACAGCAGCCACACCACCGAAATGCACCAATGCATGGCCCTATGCAACCAACTGCCCCAGCGGTTCCAGCTCACGGTCCCGCTTCGGTGCGCCCATCTCCAATGAACACGCCGCGCACTTCCGAGGAAAGAGCACGCATGAGAGAGAGCCAGCCTCTTTATAGGGAAACTCAGGCACAGCAGTACCAGAGAGAACTTCGCGCACAGCATAAGGAGGGTCAAATCGCCCAAAGGGAACCTGTAGCACACCCAAGAGACAACCAAGGCCAGGTGCGCTCGAGAGAGGTTTCGAGGGAAAGCCAGACTCATCAAAGGGACCTTCCGTTAAGTAGGGGTGGAAGTCAGACGCATCCAAGAGAGCTTGCGCCAAATCAGGGAGGTCTTACGCGCCAGAGAGAAGTTTCGACAGATCGAAGGGACAGCCAAACACACCAGAGAGATCTTCCAAGGAACCATAGGGACGGCCACAGGGACGGCCACAGGGACGGCTACATGCACCAAAGAGAGGCTTCTAGTTCAAGGGACAGCCATATGCAACAAAGAGAAGTTCCAGCGGGCCCGAGGGATATTCATAAGAGAGAGGTATCAGGTCCGAGGGATATTCATATGCAGTTGAGGGAAGCCCTAATTGGTCCAAGGGAGATGCAAGGTAGGGATGTTTCGGGCCCAAGGGATATTCAGACGCAATTAAGTCAGATGCATTCGAGGGAGGCCTTGGTGAGTCCAAAGGATATCCAAAGTATGGAGGCTTCTGTCCCAAGAGATCCTCAGATGCAGCATAGAGATATTTCGGGCAACCAAAGGGAAACTACATTGCACCAAAGGGAAGCCTCGGCACATCACGGGGAATCATCGACTCGGCATCGGGAGGGTTCAATTCATCAAACAGAAGTTTCTGAATTGCCCTTGTATGCACCTGTTCCTGGGGAATCAATTGAACCTGAAACACAGATTCAGGCGCGGCGACGACCACAGGCAATACGCCCTGGTGAGCCACTTTCGCTACAAGGAATTATGCCGCAGGGACCGCCCGATGGGCGCATGTCCGAGGGAATGCTCAGCAGTCCTATGTCTCCTGGTCCCATGTCACCACCTGGCACAGCGTTGTAGGAGACTAAATAATGTTGCTATTCCCGAGTCTTATAATATTGCTTGATTTTGTAATGAAAGGTGTTATTCTATTCGGACGCGGTTTTTCGTACTTTTTTTTACACCCTTCTTTTTATATCCTGTAGGATATTTGGCTGGCGAGTTAGTTGGTTGTTCTGTTTTTTTGGAGCAAGTGCATTATGACCCATTTCTTTCGTATTTTTTTCTTTCCAATTCCACTTTTTTCCATACTTTTTTCTTTTTTGTTCAGACATGAGCAGCATGAATTGTCATGTCGGGATGAAGATAATTCACGAACGAACAATGCTATGAAATGGGACGAGAAAAATAAAAGGAGCATTCTTTCTTGTCCTCTTTTTCTTCTCTTTTTATTTCTGGTTTTGAGGCTCGGATGTTGATTTTGGGAGGCGTGCTGCGTTTGGGAGTAGGAGTCGGAGCTCCTTTGTGGGTTTCCTGTTTTGTTTTGTTGATTTTGGAATCTTTTCTTTTTTTCTTCTTTCTATGATGATGCCCGCGGGTGTTTGATCTTTTTGGATGGTCGCTTCACAATGGGGAAAAGCGGATGATATCTTTTTTCTTCTTTTCTTTTTCTTTTTTTCTTTTTTTCTTTTTCTATAATGTCTGATGATTATTACTTCTTGCAAAGTGGGAATTTTTTTGGTGAGTGGGTGGGGCAAAAGGGAGCGGGGTGAGAATATATTGGGTTCGAGTGATCACTTGTGAACACCCGTTTAGTGGTATTACTTTCCTGATCCAATACGTGATGTGCGGTGATTGGCTGCTCTGGGTCGGTGGAGGGGATAGCGAGCCTTGGCAATCAATTCTAACATATGTATTGATCTCCGTTTGTTTGTTGGCCAAGCCTCCTCCTCTTCACGCGCTTTCCCCTCAGGCTCCATCTTGTCCATCGCTGATCTATGTAGGAACAGCACTGCCCAGCGGCTGTTCCCTGAAGCATTGGAAGTAGAGCTTGCACTTTGGTCGATCTTGGAATACGGGCACTATGTACCACAGTGGACCAAGTAATTTCAGATTACCTATTATATTATCTCTCATATCGTTCCTGCAGACACTACCTACCTAGATTATTGAACCATGAACGCCTGTTCTGATGATGTCTGGATATGTAATCCCCAAATGTTTGGTCCTGGACATAGTTACTGAAACCAACCGAAGAAACACTGCTATGTATTTAATAAATAAATTGGGCGGCTCTCCCGGGCCCGCGAATGCAGTTATCGGCCTCCGGGGCTTGTTTCGTGTAGATGAGAGCTCGGGATACTGGAATCGGTCTGGCGCATGGTATTATCTGTAGAGTGAGTGAGTGGGATTGATGATCTGGGCTGCCAGCAGCAAGCGGGGTACAATACTCTGGTCTTCTATTTCTACCAACACCGACACCGGAGCTGAATGTAGTTTTACCTGCACAACTGACAGGCTCGTGACAGCTTGCTTATGGTGTTTCAAAAAACGGCGTCTTGAGGGAGCGGGTTTTTGTTTTTGCAGATATCAGAATACCACCCACTATTTCATGCAATGCAGACAAAGGAATGTGGACCCTTGTTTTTTTCCCTTCCCCCCCCTCCACCCTGGACAGACATATGTAGATTAGACTCTATAGCACATATCAGGATTGCGAGTGAGTAAGAAGCGAGTGCCCCACCGGTCAAGGAAAAACCCTTTAGCCTCTGACTGCGTCTCATACGTCGTTTAATTTGCGGCTCTTCGATTTTGCTTCTTCTGAGTCAACACCGTTGTTGTTGCCAGCCAGATAGATGCCCCTCCCCCGCTTTTTCGGCCTGCAGCGCTCCATCTGCACACGCACAACCACACAAACATCACTCCTCCTCCCATCACCACTCTCCCTCTCCTCCACCGCGCTCAAAGCTATCCGCTCCCACCACCACCACCACCACCACCACCACCACCAACACTCCTTCCAATCAGCTCGCTCCCTCCACTCAGCCCTCCCAGTACTATCAAGTACCACCACCCCCACTGCAACCAACCCTGCCCCCCAGTTCTCGAAAAAGGCGTTCCTGAAAGCTCTCCGCACGCCGCAAAAAATGGCAACCACAAAGACTGGCGCCCCGCTTGACCGCGGCACCCTGGACACGCTCCTGCGCCGCAGGGTCTTCTACACGCCGTCGTTTGAGATGTATGGCGGTGTGTCGGGGCTGTACGACTATGGCCCGCCCGGGTGCGCGCTGCAGCAGAGCATCGTGGATACGTGGAGGAAGCACTTCGTCCTCGAGGAGGACATGTTGGAGGTTGACTGCACCATGTTGACCCCCCATGAGGTGCTCAAGACGTCGGGCCATGTGGACAAGTTTGCGGATTGGATGTGCAAGGACCCGAAGAGCGGGGAGATCTTCAGGGCGGATCATCTGGTTGAGGAGGTCCTTGAGGCGAGATTGAAGGGTGATAAGGAGGCTAGGGGTGAGAAGGTTGTCGTTGAAGAGGAGGATGATGATAAGAAGAAGAGAAAGAAGAAGGTTAAGGACATCCAGGCCGTCAAGTTGACCGATGAGGTCAGGAAGGAGTACGAAGAGACTCTTGCCAAGGTTCGTATACTGTTCATATGGCTCGATTCATATATCTTAATGCGGAATCTCTTGAAATTCCATCTACCTGTCGCGGATTTGAGATCTTTTATGATTTTTATATTTTTGATCCTCCAACTATCACTCGGCCCGAGTTTGAAACATCATGTTCCGAAACATTGACCAATTGGGGATCGCTAACTGACTCATTGGTAGATTGACAACTACGATGGCGCTGAACTTGGTCAACTCATCATCAAGCACAAAATCACCAACCCTGCTACCGGTGGAGCTCTGGAGCCCCCGGTTGCCTTCAACCTGATGTTCCAAACCTCAATCGGTCCTAGCAGCAACTTGCCTGGGTGAGTTTCTCCCCCATCGGAATTGCAGTCTAATATATGCGGTCGTTTGCGACTACTATTTCCACATTTCGGGTGTCTAATATGCTATAGTTATCTCCGTCCCGAGACTGCCCAAGGTCAATTCCTTACCTTTAACAAGCTTCTCGAATTCAACAACCTCCGCATGCCTTTCGCCTCCGCGTCCATCGGAAAGTCTTTCCGTAACGAGATCTCCCCTCGCTCTGGTCTCCTCCGTGTTCGTGAATTCCTCATGGCAGAGATCGAGCACTACGTCGATCCCGCCGAGAAGAAGCACCCCCGCTTCGTCGAGGTTGCCGACACCGTGAGCTTGAAGTTCCTCCCCCGTAATGTCCAGGAGCAGGGACAGACCACCGTTATCGAGAAGACCATCGGTGAGGCTGTCAGGGAGGGAATGGTCGACAACGAGACTCTTGGTTACTTCTTGGCCCGTATCCACCTATTCCTCAAGGAGATCGGTATCGACCAGAACAAGGTCAGGTTCAGACAGCACATGCCCAACGAGATGGCGCATTACGCCACTGACTGCTGGGATGCTGAGCTCCTGACAAGCTATGGGTGGATTGAGTGCGTTGGTTGTGCGGACCGTAGTGCGTACGATTTGACTGTCCACTCAAAGAAGACTGGCCAGTCGTTGATCGTGCGCGAGGCTTTGGAGGTTCCCAAGGTGTGGGAGCAGTGGGACATTGCTGTTGACAAGAAGTGGCTTGGACCCCGCTTCAAAAAGGATGCGAAGAAGGTTGAGGAGGCCATCGAGAAGGTCCCCCAGGAAGAGAGGGAGAAGATGGCTGCAACCCTGAAAGAGGGTGGTAAGATCACTGTCAAGGTCGACGGTCTCGGCGAGGTGGAGCTAGACAAAGTGACTGTTGAGAAGAACCAGCACACCCAGAATGGTAAGGACTACCCCCGGCACCTGAAGTGATAACGGGCGACTAACATAGAATCCACAGTGAGGGAATACACCCCCAACGTTATCGAGCCCTCATTCGGTATCGGCCGTATCTTCTACTCCCTCATCGAGCACATCTACTGGACCCGCCCCGGCTCCGAGCTCCGCGACGTCCTCTCCTTCCCCCCGCGCATCGCCCCCACCAAGATCCTCATCGTCCCCCTCTCCTCCAACAAGGACTTTGCGCCGCTCGTCACCGCCCTCTCCCACAAGATCCGCCGCGCCGGCATCTCCAACCGCGTCGACAACTCCAGCACCTCCATCGGCAAGCGCTACTCACGTAACGACGAGCTCGGTACCCCCTTCGGTATCACCATCGACTTCCAGACCGTCAAGGATGGCACTGTCACCCTGCGTGAGAGAGATGGAATGAAGCAGATTAGGGCGTCGCAGGAGCAGGTCATTGAGGTTGTAAAAAACATTTTGGAGGATAATGGAACGTGGGAGGAAGCGTTGGGCAAGTATGGCGAGTTTCAGGGACAGGAACTAGATGAGTAGGATGTAGATGGACAGATGGATTGGTGGGTGGTTGTGTATACGGATGTCTTCTCCCACTCGTTAGGTAGACTTGAATTTCAAAAAAATAAATCTTTTGTTCCTTGATTCTGCAGTCTCTGTGTGTTCTTGCCTTTTTCTTTACGCTGTCTAGGTGTCTAGGATGTGAAAACCACATTTTTACAGTGTCAAAAACCGCATAGCGACTGGAGGTAAACTTGTCGTTGGATTACTACCACGCCAATACTTGTCCGATCAATGACTATATGTATATAGCTACTTGCTTGACCCCTTTCAAGTCACTTAGCCATCTTTTCAACACAATAATTATCGGTCATTGATCAACACCAGCCGTCATATCGGATCGAGTGATAGACTATGCATGCATCTCTCCGACTCACAAACAAAACCCTCAATACAAGAAACCAGGGGTACAACCCCATCAGAGCATCTCAAACTCGGCTCCGTAAGCACCACACCCGTCTCCAACAGCGACTCGATAAAAGTAGCATCCAGCGGTGGTAAATCCAGCCGAGTGATATCCTGTGATCCAGACTAGATCCCTCTTTCTAGCGGTTTGACGAGTGTCTTTAGTTAACATCGGGCTATTTGATAATTCCGGGCTACTGGATAGTAGCAGATTCAACGGGCCTTCTCGAGCTCTGTTTGGTCTTGCTCTGGCTGGGTCCGCGCTTCGGCCCAAGCCCACTGCAGCCCGGCCGATTAATTGCAGGGTTTTTGTCCGGGTAATGGAAGGAAGGACTGCGCAGCTTCTACCGTAACGTCCGGATCCCCCGCCCGCTGTTCTTCTCTATTTGTTACTATTTCTGGTTATTATAGTGCTCAGATATATGATCTTTGCAGTCTTTGTTCACCCAACAGCTTTAGAGATGGCTAACTATAGACAACTTCAAGACTCAGCACGCCGAGAGGATGGGTCGCAGAACACCTGACTAAGTCGTGGCTACATAAAGAGCACTGGGCACATCTCACCTCTCCCGTGGGGGAGAGTGGCGGCGATGCGACGCGTGCTGGGACCACCGGCTCTGCGCGTTTCACGGGCTATAGCCCGGGGGTGTAGGGCCGCAATTGACAGTAGACCCCCGGTACCTGTTCCGGCTTTAAGTCCGTGGGGTAGTTGCATCTCTAAAGTATGGATTGAGTCCAACCAAACAAACGGGGGGAACATGAATCTCATTTTACCAGCGAGCGGGTTTAGATTCCCTGCTATCTTCAGGGGTTGCTGTTTACCCGTTCTTCACTTTTGACGTCGCTTGACAGTCCGGCCCGTACGGCGTAGCATGCGGAACTCTCTAGTCTCCTGAAAGCCCGTACCGTTGGGACCGGTCCCTCGCTCTGGATTGCAGGTATTGGGGAAATATTTGCTTCGCTCCACAAATGGGTTCTTCGTCGAGTGATGCTTTGTGACCTGAGTAAGCATAAGCAGCATTTGACAAGATTGGTTACATAGTCTAAGGTAGACTTGCAATCACTCGGTCATGGTCCCATCAAACTGCCAAAAGAGGGTGCGCAATTGATTGACACGCGGTAATGGACTACGTCTTTCTACAAGCTCTCTCCCAATAGCCTTGGGACTGCTGATTCATGCTGCATACGTAGTACTCAGGGTCGTAAATTATCACCCCAATCAGCTCGGAGATGATAATGCTTCTAACATGACGCTAGAGTCATTGACACTATAGTCTGCCTGCCTCTAGCAATAGCAACAATAAAAAAATAAAGGAAAATAAACACCTCGGCGCAACATGGAAAACGGGGATAGCCCTAAACACTCTAATGACAAAGTCGTACGTGGGAGACCATCAATACGATTGTCAACCTGGAACATCCCAGCTCCAACGGACCCAAGGGGAAAGAAAGCGGCCGAGACTAGCTCAGATTGCAAAACAGTCCCGGGAAAGGGGACTCACCCGGGATCCGTGCCGTTCGTTACTCTGCTCCCGGGTCGCTACATACATGTGCTGGATGCTGTGTTCTGGGCGCGCATCTATGCAGCTGAATATATCAAGGCCTCAGGATGGTCCGACATTAATTCCTCTTGACACAGGCGAAACGGAAAACGCTCTTACATCATGGCGAGATTAACCGACAACAGTCGGGCCCGACAGCTTGGGTGCGATTCCCGAAGGTCAATGGGTATTATTTTTCTCTTTTCCTATCATATCAATTGGATTATCGGGGGCAAATATCGAAACCTGTCGCCCCCAGGGTAGCAGCAGTAGCAGTAGCAAATTGTCGTTCTGCAAGTATTTATCAATCGACGCCAACAATTGGATTCTATTTTTCGCCTTTGGCTCAATTAAATGATACACAAGAGGAGTTCCACGTAACAGCTGCAACTGTCTACTTACATCCCCTAACCCCAATTGCAATCAATCCTGGATCCCAGCAAAGCAAAAAAGATCAAGGGATACATACAAGTATATACAAAAAAATGACTGTGCTGTGCGTTGTCCTTCCACAAATCCAGTGATCGGTTCCGACGATTTCGAAGGCAACCACTGTCCTGGGCTTTTTATTTTTGTGCCTTCCCCCCCTCCTCCTCATGTTTGGAGGAACAGGTAGGGTAGAATACCGGTACGGTACATGTACCTACCCATAGCTGCGAGGAGAAGAGTAGATATGTATGTACACAGCTCAATTAGCTCGTGCGCACCCACAGAAAACATCCCTCTTAACAGCAGGAGCCTACGAAAGCTTTTTCTCCTTTTACAAAGAACATCATGTGGATGTTATCGAGTGGCGTTGATAGGTAGGTATATCAACATAAATAACTACCTCACGCCTCTTTTTTCCCTTCCTTTATGAACGCCCCCGGCGATCCCCGCGATCTACTCATGTACCGAGGGACACAACGAGTGATAGACCATGAGCGATAAAGCATTGCGTTGGGGGGGGGGGGGGCAGCAATCCCGGGCGCTCGGGCATGCAACCATAGCCAGATCGATTCTTTCTATTTATGTCTGCCCTTTCGATGTCTTAAAAAAATGCCCTTTTCCCTTTCTTTCCAGAAGAGAAAGGGCATATATTTTTCTTCGCTTATTGAGAGTGGGAGAGACAATGCGATACGAGATGTGTATGGATGAATGGGGGGGTGGAGGGATGGGGGTGTTATAAATAGAGCCTAGAGTAACTACGCTTCTGTACTCTACCTGTCCACGTAGCCAATAGAGCCAACGATAGGTGGGCTCATCGCCTCTGTCCTGCCTGACATGTTGCACAAAGGTCGCACACACATTCACACACACTCACAGTAGGGCAAGACAGACGGTTTGAGGATGTTTGCGAGGGAACACAAAGAGTCAGAATAAAGGGAAAGAGAGAGTTGCTTTGTGACTGCTATCATTTCCACGGGGATGGACTAATCAGAGTGCTGCGTGTGCTTCGGCTGCATGATAGTAACATTGAAAGTTATATTTGGCCAACTATTGCGCCTGTAAGCTGAGAGGTTCAGTCAGTCAGTCAGTTAGTAGGCTCAGTTATTAGTGTTGGAAAGGGAGGGCGGCTCCCCCGATCTGAGATTTTATCTGCCATGATGTCCTCTGTGTTTAAATCCTTGCAATGTCAACAGTGTAGAGCATCTCGAGGTTGGTGGAGGATGAGTTATCAGAAGACGAAGGAAGCTCTATACCGAGAATGTTGCATCCTGTAGACTATACAGATGCACTCTACTCTACCACTTTACACGGTGGGACTCTAACGCGAACGAGGAGGTAGGCCATCAACCTCGTCGAGAAAGCGCAGAACGGCAGGGGTAGCACAGCAGGGATTCCTCGAGGCAGTCAATCGGAGAGATATGTATCGCGCGCATCATAATTCCGGGGGTGTGCGGGTAGCAGGCTAGCCTTCTGCCAGGTCCTTCCTTGTACCTGGGACGAAAGTCCGAAGAGTTCTTTGAACTGTTCCAACACGGAAGAGCAAGGTAGGTAGCCAGAGCAGAGCAAAGAAGGCGCACTGTAGGTATCTGCTCTATCTATGTCCCATTGAATACGAGAGTAACATGAACAAGATAGAGATAGGGTTAATTGACTCCATTGGTATCATGTATATCATGTTCCCTATCACGCCCTGTGTGATCTTCTTCGGATTGGCCCAGTAGTCGAAACTTACTTGATGGGGTAGACTCACGATGGCGACAACCCAAGTGGTTATCCAGTCAACCCACGCCTGACCGTTTCCAGCGATGGCTTAATAATTCGGAATTCCTTTTTCCAAGAACCCCCCAAGGTCTGTGGGCACTAACAAGTAGCTAGCACAGCTAACGGTCCAGCTACATGATACCTAGTCAAAACCTCGAGTTGATCTAGAGTAGTGTTTTCCTCCCGAAGGGCTCGAAAAGGAGGAATTGCGAGAGAATTTTCTTTTCTTTCCTGATCTACTCATGCTCTACTCAACTGGGAGAGCTAGGGTAAAAATAGCCAGGGCAATCTCGTTGTCTCTGGTTCCTGAAGCCAAGCCGGATTTCTATTCGGCATTTCAGCGAGTTTGTGGTGACGTTTGATTCATGAGCGCGCAAGGATCATTTCTGGAGAGCAGCTGGATGGCGAACTGGTTAGGGGGACGCGTGGTGGTGGTTCTGGTTCTGGTTCTGGTGGTGGTGGGAAGTCTACTCGACGAGCAGTCAGATGTGAGCACAGTTGCACAGCCCGAAAGCGAAAAGTGTTGCTCTGTCTAGGTCAGGCAGGCATCAGGAAAAAAGGAAAGAAGGAAGAAACAGAACAGACCTCTTGAACATTCAAATCATTAATTCGCTCCCGACTGAAGTGGCTGGGATTGATTTGTCCGTATCTAGAGATACTCGTACATGTACTTATAGATCATGCAGGTCGTCCTTGGAGCCTTTATCCCGTCCCGTCCCATCCCACTTCTTGTTCTTCTCTTTCCCATCCTCTCCCACTCGCTCTCCTCTCTACTTCCTCAAATCATTCTTCAATCTTTCTGCACTTCTATCGCGTCAGCAGAATTGGGACTTGCACATTCGCTTTTGTCAACTGCATTAACATAGGGCAACTTTATTGAGGTAAAGTGGTATTCCTTAATTCTTCCTGTTGGCGGACATGGGTGGGGCTGTTTTTTTTTCCTTCTCGTGGTTCCAGCGCTAGCAAAGAAGCTGGTTCTTGCAAGTGCATACCGCCTGCCTCTCATCTGAAACTCGTGCCTAACACCTCACGCTTGCAAGGTGTCTTGCTTTTTTTTTGGGCAGTGGAGGGTGCATATCTGCTTCAGCCTCGGATTGATAGTGGGGACCACTGGCTAACATAAATGTCTTCTACCACCCAGGGCCTTTGCAGATAATTTTTCCTGCCCGATCAATATTTATAAAATCTATATAAACAATATAGTCAAGTTTAAAGACTTCTTGCTTTAATCTTTAATCTCTTCACGAGAAGTTATCCTTGTCTCTTATCTCTCCCCCACATTTCCCCATCTTTTATATCCAAAATGGCACGCCATGGAATCTCAATCATCGGTTCACTACTCTTCGTCCTTCTCTTCCTGTCTCCCCTGATCCTTGCGGATCAGCAGGATTTCTTGGATTTGGTCAAAGATGTAGACGATGAATCTCTCCATGCTGCGTTGCACGAATACGATGGGAAATACAAGCACGGTATATTCCCCGGCGATCGAACAGCTCTCGAAGCTGTCCACCGGGAACGGGCCGCTGACGCGTCAGCAATAGTCCAACTGGCCAAACGGCAATCAACGAACAATTCCACCACCGCGACCACCGCTTTGACAACTTCAACTACCTCTGTGCCTACCACTACCACCACTACTAGTACCACGCCAACTACAACCTCTACCTCTACCACCCCTACCTCTACCACCCCAACTTCAACTACGACACCACCTACAACCACCACTACGAGCACTACTACTACCCCGGAAACAACGAGCACCACCTCAACGACACCAACCACTTCAAGTGAAACAACCACTACCTCCGAGACCCCGACCTCGACCTCAACAACTTCGACAACAACCGCCGAAAGAACCACGGAGTCCACTACGACTACAACACAGCCTCCCCAGACAACCACTGCCTCAAGAGGTACCACATTATATACCTCGAGACTCACCAGGACTGTTATAGGCACAAACGGCCAGCCATCAACTATGACTGAGACTACGGTTGTTGTTGCGGCTGTTACTGGTACTTCCGCAGCTGGGTCAAGCGACGCAAGCGCATCGCCCACCCAAACATCAGAAATGAGAGACAACGGTGCAAATGGATTGAGGGTTGGTGCCATGGAGGTTGCAGCTGCTGGTGGAATGGCCGCATTGATATTCGCAATGCTATAAAAGCAATTGCCCACCCTTTTTTATTTTGCTTTTCTTACTACCGTTTTTTATACCAAAATTTCCTTTCATAGCCTTTAATGCATAGTTTATTTTTGCTTTATTTTCTTTTTTTTTGCTTTTCTTTTGTTCTCGGTTTTTCGGGTTCGGGGCGGGGTTTTTATTGCATTCATACATTCATTTGGGAGAAACGACCTATGTTAGGGCAAATAGCCACGACATTTTTTTACGACAGTCGATCATGAGGTGCCTGGAGAAGGACGGGGAAGGGCAAATATCCGGCTATAGACGATGATGGAACTTGGAGCTATCTTTTACTGAAGCTGTGGTATTTTTTGCATGGAGGAGGTTACTTTTTATGAAGGGTAGTGCGGGGGAGGGGGGGTCTGCATCACAGTTATTGCTGGGAATGTACTTTTAGGACCAATTCTTGGAAAAGGTTCTGAAGGCTTGATTAAAAGTGAAGGATCCTGATATCATCATGCGCAAATGATTTTTGTACACATAATATACATACAACCGGGCCGAGGGTTTTAAAGGTGGGATAATGCATCAGCGATAAAAATATTGGACGGATCGATCATTTAAGACACAGTAACATTCCTACGAGTACCTACATACATACATACACCATGTATGAATCCTGAGTTTGTGCTCTATCTGTAATAAATGTGCTTGGAGCATGAAATCTAACGTTACCAGCAATTGTGTTTGGGGCGATAGTTGTATGCATTGGCGAGCCTAGAATTTGATATTCCACCGGTTTCAAAACCCGGGACTTGGGCTTGAAGGGGTGTTTCCCCTGCACCGTGCCGCCGTTGCTTTGCTTCGTATGCCGAGATAGGTAGAGCGTAATATACTTCAGGTGCTGCTGATGTCTTATTATGACATAAACGTCCAAACACATGTAGGCATCAGAATGCGGTGTGGGAAAGGAGGATGTAGGTACATACAACCCCGCGAAATTGTGTGAGAGAGTGCTGGACCAGAACTTGATCCTACAAAACAGACCCTCTGGAGTCCAACGGCATGCTGTAGGCAGCTGTTATGTAGCTGAGGGACCGCCTTTTGGTAGCTGTCTGCGGCTGCAACTGCCTGTTCCGCGCACCGACCTTGCTGCGGGAACTAGGAGAAAATCCCTGCAGGCCGCAGCGGGAAAGTTTGTGAGTTTGGGTTGGGTTGTCAGGGGTAACACAAGCCTTTTTCAAAATGATTCTTGGTTTGCTGTTCTGGGGGACTTTATGCGAAGGAAAGAATTCAAGGGGGTAAGAAACATTATCTATTTACCCACAGTGCAATACTTTCTCTACATACCCAGATGTAGGCACATGTTTAATGATGGAACGAATCTGTCTCTGTTTGTAATTGTGAAACGGGGGCGACGGTGGCGGCGGATAGGTACATATTTGTATTCGTCGTTTGATATATAAGTATATAGAAGTTAACGCCGCGTCTAACTACATGTACATGTGCGTGTAGAGTAGTGTGTACATATGAGTGGTGGAGGTTCTGGTATGCGGGTTAATGAGTGAGACATACATACTGGGCGTTGACCGAGTGCGCAAATGTGACGCAAAACGAATGGGGTAAAACATCAAAACTCAAGATACGTATGTTGACACACTCATATCCGAAACTCAGCTTTGATATTGAATTAGCAGCTTCGTATCGTCTGTTTATAATTACTGGCGCCAACTCTTCTATGATTCCAGTGGGTTCTCAATCTTATTTAGTAAGAATTCGTTCCAGCGCGTGGGACCATTAAAAACGACAGAACATCCCATGCACTCTTTGTGACGTTATGACGTTTCCCAATTTGATTCTATTCTATAGGTATCATGTATTCCTAGTGAAGAATCTAGGACTATATATACTTAGCGGTGCACTTGGAGTTAGTCAATTAACTGGGCAAAGGATAAAATTAAGAGAGGGTCAATAAGGCGCAGTCCCAAGAAGCTCTAGAAATGTTAGAGTAGTACGTATTTATAATGCACATCATAAGTTCGTACCTGTATTTGTTTTACCTTGGCTTGGCTGTCATATTCACGGGATACAACTAATGAATTATAATTATTAATCAATTAACTGATCAATATGATCAATGTCATTATTCACGGGCCCTCCTATCAAAATTGATATTCCTAGCGCAACCAAACATCTGGTAACATCTCGATAATTTAGTTGCTGTAATTTTAATTCCGTAGTTGCACAACGCTTGAATTTATATATAGGCAGATACTGTCTCCATTATATTGTGCGGATATCCAGTCATCAATTCTCGAGATCGAGCTCAGTCGTTGGCTTAGGTCGTTATTTCCGCCTGACCTGCTACGGCGGCGGGTCCTCAGTACCGAGTGAGTAGTGATATATAGAGGAGTTGCTATCAATTAGAGTCAATTCAAGTGAAATAGCTAGGTGTTCGGGACGGCATGAGGTCCTAGAATCGATTGCAATTGATCGTCAGCTGTGAATGGACGGTATATATGTATATATACTATAGTACTAGCTAGCATCATTAGTTGCAATTGGGGAACAACACAAAGAGACTTTAGTGGTAACAATAAACTCATGAAACAGGTATTATAGAGGTATTGTAGATCATGCCATATTTGATGGTGGAAGAGCTAGAGGTGGTCATGGTGGTGGTGATATCGATGGGGGGCAGGAAGCCTAATGTTTTGTAGGTATTTTCCCAATCACTTATCCATGGCCATATGGATATCATTGCTAGTTTCTCTTATGCGATACGCTATTACATGTACTCGGGGATGAGTATATGTTCGGGGGAAAGTCGGGAAATAATATCAAAGGGTATTGCAAATTCTGTGCCATTTAGAATTTTGTCTTGTCACTCGTTTCTCGTTGTGTTTTTCGAATACATGTAATTGTTACTCAATATACAAAGTACCAATAGCTAGATAGCTTTACTCGCCTGTTAATTACTAGCAAAGACGCAAAGTCTTCGGGTCACGTGCAGGCTGTTTTCTCACCTGACCCGAAGACTTTGCGTCTTTGCTAATAAAAGGTCGGAAGTCGTTGCAACCAAATCCCCACACAGAATTCCGACCTTTTAATTAACGCGTGAGTAAGCTTTTTTTAATTAACATCGTACTGTATCGATTGAAGCTACCAAATGTATGTAGCTAGACCTCTTTTTGAGCTTCAATTTTATATTCTGTTACTTCTTAAAGGCTGTAAATATATTTCATGATTCTTTGGCCTCATTTCCACGCCCATACGTACTGAATTGTCATTAATCACATTATCTGTCCTTAAGAATCATTGATAGTGTGCCAAGATAGTGCCAAGACAGAAGACCGCGCTTGCCCAAAATTTGGCGTAACATTAGAACCCAAACGGTGTCCACTCTACACGACACCTTCAACCTGCCAGTTACGACATACATCTCGAAATTAATTCAACACCAAATGCCGTCCCAACATTCCAAATCGCAGCGCGGCGGCGCTTCAACCGCCGTCTCGTTCTTTGCTACCCATATACACAGCGCGGTAATTGCCGGCGTGTCGTATGCGAGCTTTCGGAATCTCATTCTCAACCCAACATCCACTCTCCTCTCGACATTACCGCTTTTGACCGTAGCCCAAGCTGCGTATGTTGTACTTTGCTTGGACGGCAACGGTATTGCGAAAGGAAAGCGGCCAAAGATTGGGAAAAAGGGGGAGCAGTTGGCTGCAGCGACGGGGATCAGCAACAAGCTTTTGGTACATCTTCCGGATACATCTCTCTCTCTTTCACTACTTAAAACGAAGGTCTAGTTTTAATTGTTATGTCTAGACAGCTTTCCTATCATTACTCCTTGCCTCCACCGCAGGGACGGTGATATTAGGCCTCTGCATGGTTCTTTTTGGGGCACCGGTAACATCACACCTTTCGCACACAACTCTATGTGCGGCACATATGGCTTTACTGGCCGCATTTCCCCTCATATATACCAATGGTGTCGACGGACAGAAGTGGAGGGATATTGTATCAGTCACCTTGCCCATAGACGAGGCATTTGGTGGTGCCCTGGGGGCGCTTGTGGGAGGCTGGTTGGGAGCTGTTCCTATTCCATTAGGTTTGTGATCTGTTCGAATTGTTGCTTACTATATCTACAGGAATGAATACTGATTCTTGAGTTACTACAGATTGGGATCGCGAATGGCAGAAGTGGCCTGTAACAATTGTTACAGGTGTCTATATTGGGCATCTAGTCGGGAAGTCGTTAGGTTCCGTTTTCCAAGGGAAGAAACTTCCATTTTAGGCCAACTATCTAGTTGGATAATTTTCGAATGATACCTGGATATAGCAATCCTTTTCGGAGGGTTCAAATAATAATAAAAGTGTGAGCTTAGATAACCGCGGAGGCGTTCTATGATAGACTGGAGTTTTAAAGGCATAGGTAAGGGGTGAAAAATGTTCCCAAGTTCTCTGGTAGGATGTGGACGCTCTGTATCCACATTTCCTGCTAGTAGTTCTATCATGGATTTCACTGTAGCTTCGTTACACAAAAATCATTCGTTCATCCTTCTCTGCAGCTGTGCCGCAAGCACTGCGCTTAGAAAAGCCCTTGGCTTACCTCGAGAATACACGTATAAACATATAGTCACAGAGTCTCGGTTACAACTAGATTTATAATTAAGAGTTAAAGTTTAGTCCAGCGACAATGTACTAGTACTAGCTAACAATCCTATGAATCATGTGGTCCCATATATATTGGTGTGGAGCCTTGAGTAATATCCAATGCGCAGCCTTCAGAATAATAGGCGAAATAACCTATAGAATTTTCGGCATCGCTACATGTAGTAATTCGACACTACAGTACTTCATGAATATTCCTGATTTGGTATTTATGTACGCATTTCATAGAGCCTGATTCAGCACTACATGTACATGTAATCATGGACTATCATTCGGTTAGCTAACGAACTGGCAACTACATATACATACATGTACATGTAGTTGATACTGATTGGTTGAGAAGAAGTGCATATATATACACGTACTAAATATACATGTAGTTTAGGAGGTACTTGATATACACGTAGGTACAGTCACTTGATGAATACTGCCAGTTGATTACATGAGCTACAGTATGTTTTGGGTCAATAACGAATGGCCAAACCAGCCGGGTAAGTGTGTCTCGTTACGGTAGGTTATTTCAGTTTTCTTCACGCAAAGCGGCTAGACACTTTCCTCATTTAGTAATATTCTTTGTCTATTCCCATTTATTTATACTGCATGGTTGTTTCTTTATAGAAGTCATGATTCTATAATGCGCTTGTTGGTCTTTTGTACTTGTTACATGTAGTGGGATGGCCCAAGGAAAAATTAAACATTGAAAGCATACTGTACTTACTGAGTACTTGAAATGTGTCAGTGTCTCCGGTTTTGATTGGTCAACAAGTGTGTTTTCGCTGTTGAACTAGGTTCACCATTGACCTGGAAAGGGGTATGGCAAGAAACAGCCAAGCTGCAATATCTCCAGGTAACGTTGTTCTTGATTCCTATTGGCCCAAGCGTTCCCTCTTCGTCAACTGGCAGTATTTATCAAGTGACTACTACGTATGGACGATTGTGTTGACGTTATTATGTTTAACTGTCCGGATGTCCGAGTGAGTGGTAGAGGTGTTTATATGTATATGTATTTATATACCAAAGGGCTAGGGTTGCTGCGCAGTGCCCCTGGCTACGCGGCTCAGCTACTTTCACCTTTCTATGCATACATGTATGAACATGAACTGAAAGGGGCTCGTCAATACATGTAATTCACACAAAACGGCCAGGGTTTGAACGTCCCAAACTCCCTTCATCCACGGAACGAGTCACCATTACTCATTTGGCGGAACCCTCCCAGTTAAGCGCCCTACATCTCTCCTGTCTAGAACATAAAGACTGCAGCTGCGTACCTACCTACATACATACCGATCAAATTGCCCGATGACAACCATGGAAAGATATCTGATGGTTCAAGGTGCGGTAAGTTCCGCAGAAAATGCTTTGAGATTGAAACATCAAGAAACATCAATGTATCAATTTAGTGAATTGTAAGTTTCATTCCGGTTCGTTTTTTTAATATGATTTACTGATTAATTGTAAGGAAATTCGAACGCGTATTTCGAACTGTGATCTACGGGGCAGCCGTTATTGCTCCCTTGCTCTTCTTACTTCTGCAACGGGTCGCCACGGGCATCCCATTTTTGCCCCACAAGGATTACTGTTCGTACATTGTCGTCAACAAGAAGGGTTTTCTGAGCATATACGACCCGGATGAACTGCCCTCAAAAGCACCAATTGAGGAACTATCAGGTAAAAATCACTTGAATGGTCTTTCTCGTAGTATGTTGTATAAGCGAGTTTGTTGCTAATGCAGTGCAGGAGTTCGTTTGAAAATAGCATGGGTTCAAGAGCTTTGTCTGTTAGGGCTTGTGGCTGTTAGTTGCAAAACTCTCTCATCCAGAGTTAGCAGTGACATCCCATTCTTTGAAGAAGGTTTGCATGCACTTGGAAATAATTTGGTACTTCTAGCTAATTCAACCCATATAGCTTTTGAATTGGTTTACTGGATATTTTTTCTTGCTCTGTTTACTTTTCGTTTTTATCCTACACCTTATAGACCGATCATATTTACTATAGTATCGTTGGCGAGTTTCCTGGTCCCAATGTTGGTCTGTGAACGTGATTTGTGGCCAAAGATACTTGTTCACCCATCCCAGGAGGTGTTACAACAGGCAAGAAAGGGCTGGGAAGTTTATGTGCGCCTTGGTTTGTCAGTCACTTTCGGGTCATTATCGATGATAACTCCAAGCATTTGGTATCCAGTGGACCCATATTCAGATCATACGGCAACTCTAGAGCAGGTATCAAATCTAAGCTAGTATACATTTACAAAGTTTGAACTAATAGATGAATTAGACTGCATCGATTTTTAGTTCCTTGATTACCTTCTCTTGGATCGAAGGGCTGATACGAAAAGGATTTAAAAATGATCTTGAAATCGAAGACCTTCCTAAGCTATCTGACTCCGACTGTGCAAGGCTTTGGAGCAACAAATTTCTAAAAACCCAGAAACCATCCGTTTTTTGGGTTTTGGTTTCTTTAAAGAAATATGACTTGCTTTACATGATGCTTTGCTCCCTCTTGAGCGCCGTTTTGAGTGTAAGCCCATCAATAGATCTCCCTAAATTAGCACGCCTAATTACGAAATTAACATAGTGAAATAGTTTATCAATCCGTTATGTATGAGAGGACTGCTTGCCTATATTGAAAAATCATCCGAACCTACCTTTACGCCATGGGTATACGTTGGCGCTCTCTTTTTCGAACCTTTGATCAATGCGGCAGTCGGCGCGACTCAATCTTTAGTCTCTTCACGGTAAGTCAGGGATTATTCCTTGATGTACAGGACCCGGCTGATTTTTCCAGTTTGGTACTTCATGTAGAGGCAGCTGTCTCCCAAAGTATCATGCAAAAGACATTAAAGATCCGCATCACGGATTTCAAAGAAACCAAAGAGGGAGATGGAAACGAAGAGGGCGATAACCAGGATGCTGTTCAGCCGGCAATAGGAAAAATTACCCAGTTGATCAATTCTGATGTTTCTCGATTGATAAATGCAAGGTAAACTTTGTATACATCAAGGAATATAATTTTAGTGTTCCGCAATAGCTGACGCATATATTTAGTTCTGTGCTGAATCTTGTTGCATCTACTCCAATAGGAATTATCTTTACCGTCATACTCCTCTATGATCTTTTAGGTTGGGCTAGTTTTGTCGGTGAAGGTTTAGTCATCGTGACAATGATACTGCCTGGAATGATGCTAAGATATTACCACAAGCTTTTGAGGCAACAGCGGAAAGCTGTAGATGCAAGGATTGGGCTGATGGTAAATTCTTTTTTCGCTCAAAGTATGATATCTACTTACAATTCATTTAGACAGAAGCACTTGGGTCCATTAGGATTATTAAATTCTTTGGTATGGAGAGGGTTTTTCTAAAACGTATTCATGAAAAGAGAGAAACCGAGTTACGCATGAATAGATTGACATTACTATTTGGCATTTCCTATAGCCTCGTGCAATATATGATACCGACGATGAGCATGGTAAGTTTCGACACCCGAGTACGATGGATGATGTGTTAACCTACGTAGTTTATAACCTTAGGTATCTATGCTAAAGTAATGGAAAAGCCGTTGAGTCCAAGTGTTCTTTTCACATCTATGAGGTTTAATCTCCCGATTGTTTGTGCGATATCTGCATCGGCTGACGCAATAAACCTATAGCTTATTCAGCATGCTTAGAGTGTATTCTAGTACGTATTATTGTAAAGGCTCAGAGTCTAGAAGAATTTGAAACTAACTAGCAATAGGTTCTATCACTACAACTGTTCAAACTGTTCGTATCCCCCATACGAAACCAATTATGCCATTGCACTAAAAACCTGTGTCTTAGGTTCTGGAATCTGCTGTATCGTTTGACCGTATTGACAAATTCTTGACTGGAGGAGAACTTCAACATAATGACCATATTAACCCAACCGCCGAGCTGATAAAGAACGCGCCCTTTTATAAAGATGCGACTTTATCCTGGGCATTACCCGGTTCCAGGACTGATAACAATTTCAGGCTTTCGAACATGAATGTGGAATGCGTTTATGGCGGCCTTACTGTAATCTCTGGGCCTGTAGGATCTGGTAAAAGTTCGTTTTTGCTAGGCCTTTTGGGAGAGATGAGGTTGTTGAATGGCAATGCATATCTTCCTCGAAATGAAGGCGTGGCCTATGTGGCTCAGTCCACTTGGCTCCAAAACAAGACGATTCGCGATAACATCCTTTTTGGAGAGCAGTATGAAGAGAAGAGATACAACGCCGTCCTGGAGGCATGTGATTTATCAGTAGACTTGAGTAAATATGAGGATGGCGATCTTACAGAGGCTAGTACGCCCAATTATTGACTTTTTCTACATTTAGACTGACTGCGAGAATTTCTAGGTTGGTGAAAAGGGTGAGAATCATGCTGGTACCGAAACGAAATTCTTTATCACTGACTTCTGTAGGCGTTACACTGAGTGGTGGACAAAAAGCTCGATTATCATTGGCGAGAGTAAGATTTCTGATCTTGGCCAACTTGCGGTTCATTATTTATTACTGACCATTTAGGCTGTTTATTCTCCCGCTCAAACACTACTTCTTGACGATGTGCTATCAGCACTAGACGCGGCGACTAGTAGAATAGTTTTCGACAAGTGTATCAATGGAGGAGTTTTAGCTGGTAGAACTGTTGTTCTAGTGACTCACCAGTGCGTATCTCCATGATTTCTTTACCATCTCCATGTGTATTAATATAAATAGCGTGTCGCTGGTATCTTCATATGCAAAGAAGATAGTAGTCCTTGCGGACGGAAAGATCATTTCAGATGGCCTTCCGCAAAATATTCCTCTCAGTGCAATCAACGTTATACCAAATATTGAGCATGACTTCGGACATTCGGACCAAGAGTCTGATCCTACAACACAAGCATTCCAAGATAAAGTTGTTAAAACGGCCCCAGAAGTGAACGGAAAAAATCTTCCCAAACTTGTGAAAGATGAGGACCGGGCAAAGGGCAAGGTTCCAATAATGCTTATATGGGATTATATAAAAAGTCTCGGGTCACCTATTGTCTTGGTCTACCTGGTGGCAACGAGTGTTTTGATGGAGTTTGCATTGTATGTTAAACCTGGGCTTAATATCTAGATTCATACTAATAGCGCGGTTTACAGCGTGGGGAGCTCTCTATTCCTCGCAGTCTGGTCAGGTAACGAAATCTCGCACTGTATATACAACGTTTGTTTCTGACGGTAATCGTAGATCAATACTCAAAACCTGGGGACGTAAATGTGAATTTGTGGCTTGTAAGTTTCCTACTGGAGTGGTTACTAGTGCTCTGCTAATATGGCTGTTAGGGAATGTATTCTAGTAAGACTGATTTGATTTATCATGGTGCAAATTATCTCGGCTAACTTATCAAAACAAGTGACTACGTTTGGTGTGATAATATCTTTCTTCATCACATACGTTTCATGGTATTACTTTATTCAAATTTCAGGGAAGAAAATTCACGAGAAACTCGTAAAATCAGTGTTATACTCACCCATAAGGTTCTTCGATACTACCCCTGTAGGAAGGATACTAGGACGCCTATCCGGTGATATATAGTGAGATTCTTCTCCTTTTCTCTCTTTGATATAAGGACCAGGAAGAGATAGTTAACGAGGATATAGTTCTATCGATTGGATCCTAGGACGTAATGTGCAATCACTTATCAACTGTGTGCTTAATATTGCGTTCACGTTTACAATCATGTTCGGCTTAATTCCAGTTTTTCTAGTGCCTTGTTTGACTGCGATCCTAATTGGGACAGCCTGCCGAGAATTGTAAGTTATAGCTATACCCCCAAGTATGATTAGTAAATTCTAACAGTTTCAAGTTACCTCCGCACTAAGATAAGTGTGAATAGAATATATTCTATCCAAGCAGCCCCTGTGATATCTCATCTGCATGATACTGTCTCTGGAGTTGTAACTATCCGTGCATATAATTGCCAACGGCGCTTTCTTGATGAAAACCTGAAGAAGCTCGATGATTTCAATCAAGTGTATGTCTCCAAATTCAACAAAGACGAAATCATTCATTCTAATTGGACAAGCAAATGGACTCTCAATGCCCTTGGCTTGTGGATGACCATTAGGAGCACAGCTTGCACCGCAATGATCAGTGCAGCAGCAGGTTTCTTGGCAATTAGCACGACTGGTTATACCGCGGGTTTGATTGGGTTTAGCATGAACAATTGTACGAGTGGAATTCCTCTTAAGTTAATTAGGGTACTAATCGATTAGGTCTTTCGTTTTCCTCTTCGGTACTCTCAGCAGTCAGGTAAAAGTTGCCCATGATGATACAGACTTCCGAGTTCATACTAATATCTTTCCCGTGAATAGTGACTTCAATAGGGTAATATATACATATATAAGTTGAAATTAATATTTAGATACCCCATACTGATTCTTCTCAGCTGCAAGTGGAGCTTAATTCGTACGACCGCGTCGTTAAATATATTAAATCTGAGCAAGAGGTGAGAATCCCTAAATACCTTCACATTTAAGATATTTAAGGACTAATAAGAAACATGGTATGCTCTGTAGAAACAACCAATACCAGAGCATGAACCATCAGCAGCATGGCCAACTCGTAAACCCCACCAACCCTGCATTTCAGCGTGTTATAAATGCTAAATTGACAATTGTAGAGGGTGATGTCAAGATTATCAATCTCTCGGTCAAGTACTCTACGGACGGCCCAGAAGTACTTAACAAAGTCAGTTTTGACGTCAAATCACGCGAAAGGGTTGGTTTTCATACCAGTATGTAAACAGCAAGTTATTTGCTAACTTAGAGGAAGGTCGGTATTGTTGGGAGGACTGGAGCCGGAAAGAGCAGTCTAGCGTTAAGTTTGTTAAGATTTACCGAGATCTCTAATGGTAGTATTACCATTGATGGTCTGGATATCACGAAAGTAAATCTTGAGTCTCTCCGGCAGCGCATCACGTACGCATTCAAATGATTCCTTCAGCATTCCTGTATCAGCTAACATAGTGTTAGAATTATTCCTCAAGATCCCATTATGTTTTCTGGTACAGTTCGCGATAATCTGGACCCCTATCATGAAATTGATGATACAGAACTTCAAGCAGCTTTGGAGAGTAGTGGATTAGTTGGAATTACAAACAACGCTAGTAATACAAGTGTCTCAGACGCCTCAACTACCACATCAGAAGCAACAGAGCCGAGAACTAAGCAAATCGGTCTCGACTCTCCAGTCACATCTGGCGGAGATAATCTTTCTCAGGGACAACGGCAGTTGCTCGCATTTGCCAGGGCACTAGTCAGACGGTCCAAGTTGGTGATTTTAGATGAGGTGCGTTTCCCAATTCTTGAAGACTTGATTTCTTTGGGACGAGACCAGAGCCTTGGCAAGTTTCTAGGCTTTTGATTTTTCTTCGCTTCCGATGCTTCCCCGAGAGTCGGAACTTATGCTAACTCCGGTATTAATGTAGGCTACGAGTTCTACAGACATGGAGACGTGAGTGGTCTGATGTTTGAAGTTGCGCAAAAGGTTGTTGCTTACGCAAGTAATAGGGATGAGAGAATCCAACAGACCCTGCGAACTAGTTTCCCGGACTCCTCTATAATAACCATTGCCCATAGACTTCGTATGTTAGCCCCTATTGAGATTCCAGTCCGACGCAGTTGCTGATCTCTTTCTAAAAAAAATAGGCACAGTGATGTCGTTTGACAGGATTATTGTCCTTGACAACCTGGGTAAAGGCGGGGAGGTAGTGGAGTAAGTGCTGTGCCTCTTTATGCGGGGATCCTTTTTCTGATGTGTGCGTGCAGATGTGATACCCCGTTCAATTTACTACGGCGCCCTGGTGGTGTTCTGTACGACCTGGCTCGCAAAAGTGGAGAATTTGAAGAGCTTCTAGAGCTGGCTACCAAAGGCAAAGCCCTGTACACAAACGGGGAATAATTCGAAATTAATTTTTCGGTTGTCGGTTGCGTTTTGTACTTTACTTAGATAGGCTAAATTGCAATTTTTCTGGGCGCGTCTGTGTTCTACAAATCAAATACCATTTCTAGAATTACTTGGAAATAGACAGAAAACCACTGGAAATAGGGAATACAGTCGCACCTCGCTATCTCGTAATTCGATATCTCGGATCTCTTGCTGTCTCGTACGGATTTGCGGGACAGGTACTGCCCTTCACCAAAAACTATTTGCTGTCTCGTATATTTGCTATCTCGTAGGGGTTTGGCTCCCAGAATAAGCTAACGACATAACGAGGTGCGATTGTAGGAAATAAGATCCTGGCCGTTTCTTGGAGATCATCGCTATCCCGTGTTGGGGGTTGGGTGGATAGCTTCCCGCAGCCGAAACAACCCCGCCCCATCGAGAGACCCCTCCTTATACGTCACGGAATCACTATTTGTGTCGCTCATCTCCCCCTCTCCAGCTTTTCTATATCTACCTATTCAGTAGAACTTCTAGAATCCCATCAATCCTATATTCCAAAAATGTCGACTGTTGGAAAGGTATGTTGTTCAGATGAATACTTACTGCCAGATTGTCAAGCTAAGTATGTCCTAGACTATTACTTGCAAGGCGGCAGTCGCTTGGGAGTCCGGTGTACCTCTGTCAATCGAAGACATTGAGGTCTTACCTCCAAGGGCCCATGAAGTGCGCATCCAGATCTACTACACAGGAGTTTGCCATACAGGTATTTACAGCCCCTCAACAGCTAGACTAGCAACAAAAGAAACGCTAATATCTGACGTTGTTTCAGATGCATACACCTTGTCAGGCAAGGATCCCGAGGGTGCTTTCCCCATTGTTCTTGGACACGAGGGTGCCGGAATTGTGGAATCAGTTGGCGAAGGTGTTGAAAATGTGAAGGTTGGAGACCATGTTGTCGCTCTTTACACTCCGGAGTGCAAGGAGTGCAAATTCTGCAAGTCTGGAAAAGTAAGTACACACTGTCTCGCAGCCTTTTTTTATTTTTTGCTTTTAATTATGTTCTAAACTCTATCTGACGGAACGATTTAGACAAATCTCTGCGGTAAGATTCGCGCTACCCAAGGTAAGGGTGTTATGCCCGACGGAACCTCCCGATTTAGATGCAAGGGTAAAGATCTTTTGCACTTCATGGGAACCTCAACCTTCTCACAGTACACCGTTGTGGCCGATATCTCCGTTGTGGCCATCACCCCAGAGGCCAAGATGGATAGGACTTGCTTGCTTGGCTGTGGTATTACGACAGGATATGGTGCTGCCGTTGTTACCGCAGGTGTTGAGAAGGGGTCCAGCGTAGCTGTCTTTGGTGCTGGTTGTGTTGGTCTTTCTGTCATACAGGGGGCCATCAGATGCGGTGCTAGCAGGATTATTGTCGTCGATGTGAACGAGAAGAAGAAGGAATGGGCTATGAAGTTCGGTGCGACAGACTTTGTGAACCCGGCGGACTATGGCGACAGGCCGATTCAGGAGGTTCTTATTGAGATGACTGACGGTGGCTTGGACTACACGTTTGATTGCACTGGTGTAGTCTCAGTTATGAGAGCCGCGCTGGAAGCCTGCCACAAGGGATGGGGCCAGTCAATTATCATTGGCGTTGCGGCTGCTGGTCAGGAGATCTGTACACGTCGTAAGTTGCTCATTGTGGAAGTTGGATGCTTATCTGGGGTATTTATCAACGACTGAGCTAACAAACCGTTACTTGAAATAGCATTCCAGCTGGTCACTGGGCGTGTTTGGAAAGGTTGCGCCTTTGGAGGCATCAAGGGACGTACTCAGCTTCCTGATCTCGTTGATGATTACATGACCGGAAAGCTCAAAGTGGACGAATGTGGGTTATTTCTGCCTAAATTTACGAGAGATTTGCTAAAACTGGTCATGCAGTCATTACCCACCGTGAGAACCTCAACAACATCAACACCGCATTTGACCAGATGAAAGCTGGTGATTGCATTAGGTTCGAGAATTCCAGGTTCACCCCGTATCTGAGACAATATGCTAACTTTTTTGCCCTTAGGTGTGTTGTTGACATGCAGAACCTAGCATAGGAGGAATCGAGGCTATCATATCTTCCTGATCGTACTTAAAATTCCTCTGTAGCCTTTATCGTATTTTATTTTTACTAGGTCCAGGATGTAAAACCATAGCGGAGTAACAACATGCAATTCTTTCTTTTCTTTTCTCTTCATTTTTTCCTTACCTAGTGTGGATGCACAGATAAAATCAAAAGGAAAAACTATATGTATTCTCCAAGATCTGGTCGTAGTTGCGCGGGTGGGCGTGCACCGATTCTTGTGCGTTGGGGTATCAGATCCAGCCATCAACGATCTACATGGTAGCGACAGGGTTCTTAGATTCTTGTCCAATGAACTGTTAGCCGCTAAGACTCCGCTTATTAGAGTTGCGGGATGCAGGATGATGGTTGGACGATTGATCAAGTGCATTCACCATGCATGGTTTGTCCCTACTCTAGAGTAATCTAGTAAATAGGGCACCCTACATATGATGTAGGAATTCCAAACTGGCGGGAAAGAAGAATTTGAAAAGTCATAGAAGACTGAATTTTGCGCCAAGTAACACAAATCCTAGACTGAAAATGTTTCAGAGAGTTCGAGAAAGGAACAAGCCTTCTTGATTGTGAAACCAGGGACGGATCCAGCCGCCGGATGAGAGATGGCGAGTTGTGGAGGCCGAATTAGACACCAGCTCAGCACAGTAACGTCGCGGCGTAATAAGGGCGATTCGCACTGTTTCGCAGCAGCAGTAACTTCCTCGTTATTGTTAGTAGCTTTTGATTCTCTATTTACCCTCGCTTCCTGTTCACCATTGTGGTAAAGAAGCAGGTTACAGGATCAGGATACATGTGATGCATGCTGATGGTGGGAGGTTTATGCTGTAAACGATTTCGTTCTTCTAACCTTCCAGGGTACCTGGAGAGTGGGGTGAAGAGGAGAGGAGCCACTGTAGAGGATGCACTACAATCTATGCAGGCAAATCTCATATTAACTGCCTGTGGGATAACTAAGACCACATGTACCCGGATAATTTATTCCCGGTTTCTGCGTGCTTTTATTCTCTCAAAATTTCCGCCTCTACATTGATCAAAGGTGACACCTGGTAACTTCATCACACGGACCAGCCAGCCCGTTGGATATGTACGCTACATTTAAAGTCGCTGCTACCGCGGTGGCTTCCTCTCTTGTTGTAATTTGTATGACCTGACGCCAACCGCCTCCTTTACCTTACCAAGGGTCGTTTCTGGATCCAAGGGTGTGTCGTGCTACTAATTGGTTTTTCTTCTCGAGGACCCCGTGCATTACCATAGTATTTAAGTTAATGCTTGTATCCTTTGAATTCTAAACCAAACTCTTGCCTGGTCTGTACTTATACCCATTGAGAGTTCAATATTGCAACTTCTCAATTCAACCAATATAAACCACGATCCTGGAACATCATGAGCTACCAAGACGGGCAGCCTTTATTGAGCTCAAAGAGGTCCCCTGGTAAGCCATCTTCATATCCGATCCAGCTATCTACCGATCAGACTCATTGTCTATCAGTCGCTCAATTGCTTACAATGTCTAAGGAACATTTGGAAAATCTGTGATGGATTCAGAGGAGCTCAAGCTTCCACAGGCTATAGCACACCGTGGGTGAGTTGACGGTGCTTTCGTTGGAGAGGGCTGTGGGGGATAAACCTTGGAGAATTGGAACAGTTGGTTAATTAAACTTTGTTCTAATATTTAGCTTCCGGGCGCAGTTTCCAGAAAATACGATATTGGCTTTTGAAGGCGCTGTTAAAGCTGGGGCCCATGCAATTGAGACGGGTACAAAGAAACAACTCCCCCACCGTCACAGTGTCTGAAGCTAAACAACTTGAGGGACTAAATAGACCTTCATCTATCACGAGACGGAGTTGTCATGATTTCACACGTATGTCTTGATCCACTCGAATCTATCAAAAGTATTGCTGCTAAGTAAGCCTGGTATAGGACGCCACTTTAAAAAGGGTATTCGGAGAAGAAGGGAAAGTTATCGACTGCGACTATTCATACTTGAAGACTCTGAGAACATTAGAGGCACCACATGTTCCCATGGCATCACTAAAGGAGGTGCTAGAATTGTTGTGTCAACCCGCGCTCAGAAAAATGTGGTTGTTATTGGACATCAAGATCGACAATAATGCGGAGAATATCATTAGATTAACTGCGGAGACTTTGAATGATGTGGGAGGTGGTGTAGAGTTTTGGGGCAATAGAGTTGTTCTCGGGTGTTGGACATTGAATTTCATCCCATTATGTGAACGTTATTTACCTGGGTTTCCAATTACTGTGAGTGCCTAATATGAAGTCTCAAGGCGTGTTAATTTCCTCTTATTGACTGCATTTTAGCACATCGGGTACTCAATACCATATGCGAGAGAATTTTTGGAAATTCCAAATGTTTCTTTCAACATGCTTTATGCAATCCTCGACGGGCCTAAGGGCGAGAAATTTCTCAAAGACGCTCGTGCTGCCGGCAGAGACGTTTACACGTGGACAGTAAACGACGAGCAGGTTATGAAATGGACAATAGCCCATGGGATTGATGGTAAAGCAAATTCACATACTATTAGAGGCAACTTGAACTGACGGATTAATAGGAGTTTGTACCGATGACCCAGTTAAGTTTCTTGAGTGCGCTATCCATACCCCCACTAAGCTATTAATGCCTTCTAATAATTCTCCGATTTTCAGTATCTGCGAAAAATATCTAAACGGCGAAGTCTCATCAGAACCCTGGAGCTGCAGAATGGCTTTTGTTTTGATGTATTATCAATTCTTGGCATACATCTTTTCATATCTATTTCGATGTCGCCACGGATTCACACTGAAGACTGCGGAGAAGGCGCACTTGGCTCCCTAAACCTCACCGCAAGGTTTCTGTTTTGTGATAGTGTAGTGTAATCGTGTAAATATGTT